AGTAACGAGCAGTTATTTCATTGTCAGCTATGTTCACTCTGTAAACGACCTGGGATCGAACTGATTTACCTTTAGGTTTTGTAATGATTGCGTTATTTATCCATTACACAACTACTTATGTCTATTAATTTCGAACTTTTATTAGTACTAATGTTACTGAATGTTATTCTACATTCTATATGTATTCACAATATTTTTATTTAGTCTTTTGAGGCTACTTACATCATTGATGATGTTTATTCGCTTTTACATTTTGACCGACTTGTTAGTAGATGACATGAATTTAATGAAATAAACTGAACTCCTTGTTATTCTACTAAAAACTTTGTTCTTACTCTTTACAGGTTAATGAGGAAAACAATATCTATGAAGCTTATATTAAGCATTAAGAATACTATTGACGTTTAGTAAAGACTTTTAGTATCCAAAGGTGTCCTGAGTTCGAATCCTGCGAGGCAGAGCCTTGGTTGCGCAGTACTGAGAGATCCCACAATAGGATGAAACGGTCTTCCAATGCTTCCAACTTCTTCATGGTGGTCTGGCTTCAGTTGTTGATTGTGAAAATGGGTTATACTTGAAATTGAATAGAATTGTGTAATTAGGAACGATATGGAAAAGAAATAGATCAGCTAAAGGTTCAAGCAACAATAATAATAACAACGTAGTCTGTAGAATAAAATGATTAATTACTTCCTTACGCCTGTTACTCCTCGTCGAGGAGCACAAGCCGCGCACTAGAACACTCCATCCAAATCTGTTCTAGGCAATCCTTTGCAGTTCTTTCCAGTTGTTATCCATCCTTTTCATATCTGATTCTATTTCTCAACATAATGTATTCTTTGGCCTTACTCTTTTCCGCTTCCCTTCAGGATTTCAATTTTGGGCTTGCCTCGTGATTCAGTTTGGTGATTTCTGTAATCTGTCCTAACCATTTCCATTATCTTTTCCTAATTTTCTTCCCAGATGGAAGCTGATTTGTTTGAATAAAATGAATGCATCATTCTATTTCACAGATTCTCATCAGCAACATACAACCTGAAACTATAATGATTAGTCTGATTATTGACAAATGTTCGACATAATTAAGTTTGTGAACTTTAAGTAAATGTTCAAAAGGTAACCAAAATCCTAATAATAAGGAATAATAGGGATACAAAGTGTATGAATAAACATGGTTAAGATTAAGGTTGGACTTGATTGTTTCAAATCATATTGATCAATGAGTAAGGAATTAATAATGAATAGTTGAATTTATGAGTTAATTAATTAGTTGAAGTTAGATATTAACACCGTTGGATGCCAGCTCAGTGATCTAGAGGTTAAATGTTCGCTCCCGAGACCACGGGTCCCGGGTTCGAGTCCCACGTGCAGGGTCGTGGATGCGCACTTCTGGGGATTCTCACACTCGAACGAAACAGACATCCAGTGCTTTCAGGTTTCCAATGATGGATTAGCTTAAATAGACTCATGAATTCAACTATTGGATATTATTTTTATTATATTCTAATCTGAAGAAGTGGCCTGCATTAAGTCACAAAACGTCGGGAATAAAATTCTTTTACCCATTAGAATATGACAAAAATATATTTATTATAATCAATATATATATAAGAGGTTATATAAGAGCAATTGGGTAATCGCTCAACATGATTAACTAAATAAATTTGTGGAAATCAATCAGATTATGTAAGAGATGAATATCAGAAAGAGAAAAAAACAGTAGAATAATAAAAGGTTAGGGACAAGGTTGAAAAGAAAAATGTTTAAAATTAACAAAGGTTACTAGAGAAATATCAAGTCGTCATGGTAGGGAAAAGTTAGTCAAACTTTCCCTGTATATACACAGATCATGTCAGAAATGTCTGATAACGATCGCCTTTGCAAAACGGAGTGAAATTGATGCTTTGTATCTGTTGATTGTTTTGAATGCATCACTTATATTCACTTGATGTCCTCTATACACATGTTTGTCAATCGCACTTGCAAAGATTTTACTACCTTTTAGCCATAGTTTCATAGGAATATGTTCAGAAAATTTTGTAGAGTCTCTACTCTATGTCCTTTCTACTTACCCGCTACCGCAGGTACATGTAAATTCACAAATGCGATTGAAGGTGACATCGGAAGAATTTTGATCTATTCACAATTGATTGATCACTGTGTGGTGATCAATGCCATGTGTGTCAACCCATTCTTAGTGCAGATCGAATGCTATCGACCCAGTTGCAATATGGCCACTAATCTAGGTGACTCGACATTGCGTGCACTATGCTGAGATAGAATGGTGGTTGGAAGCAGTCAACAGATCCACCCAGTGATCAATCAATTGTGAATACATCTCAGTCCTACAGGAGGTCAGTCACGGCCCGGATAGCTCAGTGGTGATGTCTCTGACTGTGAAGCTGAGTGACACGGAATAGAATCCGTCAGAGAGAACCAGTTCCCTTAAGATTTCAGGTACACCTTGCTAACGAGTGCCAAATAACACGAAACCCGGGTCCAGGGTTTCCTGTTGACTACCCTAAACTACCATTCTATCTCAATATTGATCTATCTTTGAATGGTATGATGAGCACTTAGTGTTGGATCGTGAAACCGGTTGAACGGTAGGGAATATTCTTTTCAGTGCTTCCTTCACTCTTCCATAGATTCTTCCTGAAATCTCATCCCCGTTGACTACTTCTTTCATATTCCATTGTAAATCTTGTGTCGGAAGTGATTAAGTAGCTGAGAAGCGCGGTCCACATCATCACAGGTAGTAAACGCATCATCATATCTAGATGTTATGGTGTTATGTTCTAGATCTCGTGTTTTAGTTTCGTTTGTTCTAAGTTAGCTATGAAGATATCGGTCAGATAGATCCTATTAGTGATCCCATAACCACTCCATCGGTTTGTTTGTATGGTTGATAGTTGGATTGGAAAAAAAAACCGTTTATGCAAAGGAAGTAATTCAAATTAGTCACAAATTATATGAATACTTTCTTCTAATGGTATATTCGTAAATAATGAAGGCGTATCAAAAGATACTATGAAAGTATCAGACATATTCAACTGATCCATTTTCTTTGGAAAGCTGAACTGCGTCTTTTAAAGCATTAGTCGCCATTTTTTACAAATTAGTTCTAATAATTTGGCTAACTACACAGCCAACTAATGATATGGTGAGATCACTGTAGACATTATCACCATAGTTATTATCTGGTATTTTTGTGAGTGTACATCTTGAAGAATAAAACTGCCTAAAAAGAAGAATTTATCATTGAATCAATCACTCTTGTCTCATAACTGAATGGGTATTGTGATTGAACCGAAGATGTTCAATCCAGTAGGTAATTTTCGAATCGTGAGCAATAAAGAGAACACCAGTCGAAGAAAGTTCCATCATTTTTCTCTCAAGCCAGATGCAGCTTAAATCCCTACCCCCCCCCTACTTTATTCAGTCAGCTAAACAGCGTTATCAACCCTCACAGTGTAGTTAAAAGGCGATTACATCATACTTGCTATGCACGGTTATTAAGTGATGCTAAACCATAATTACGTTAGCTGCTTAAGATAATGTTAACTGCTTTCGGCCAATGTACCGAAAATTAATGTGTTTGTAGGTATCAGTGCTAAGGTTTGACTTAATAGTTTTAAATAAATTGAGCATTGGGTAGAAGGTTAAACATGTGATAGCATTTGAAGCAAATGGCACTGTGTTCTCGTTTCAGAGTGAACATCAGCTCTAAGATGCAGGTACATCCAGCTGATGAGT